AGGGTTTAGGAGGGTTTAGGGTTCAGAGATATGCAAACAATCAAATCAGCATGAACTGCTGGATTCGTGACTTGCCATCGGAGGGTTCTTGTCGAGTTATTGGTTCAAGAGGCAGCAGCAATGTCAAATCATTACCAGACTCTGGGCATTTCCAGAGATGCCAGCCGACGCGAAGTTATACAAGCATACCACGCTCTGGCGCTCCAGCACCATCCAGACAGGCCGTCTGGCTCCACACAGGCCTTCCAGCGCATCTGCAGTGCATTTGAGGTGCTTGGTGACGAGGCGAAGAGGCATGCATACAACTTCGCTCTTGTTGAGCGAGCGAACCGCGATGGGATGTCGTCTGACTCTATGCTCTTGAGGCCGACTGTCACGGGTGAGGAGGCCCATGTTCTTGCAGATTACCCAGTGACATTTGCCAAACTCCTCCTTTCTGCAAAGCCCGCCCTCTGGGGACGTCTGCTGAGGGCGTTGAGCAGGAAACAGCTGGATGAATTGAAAGCTTGCCTCCATTCCGCTGAATCAGGCAAGCGAATAAGGCTCGATAAGTCCGAGAACCTTCAACAGCTCCGAGGTTTGGACAACTTGCACGCAAAGGGAAGTGGCTATGTGGCCAAACTAACTCTTGACCACCTTGAGGTCGCGTCTCCCTTTGCCGCGACGGTCGCAGTCGCTGCATATTATCATTCAGCAGTGCTGGAGCTCAGAAACTTGATAAGGGGCCACACGGTAGCTTCGCCTCGTTGTACTTTTGAAGAGGCCGTTCTCCGTGGCATGGCCAGCCTTGACGAACAGGGCATGGCTTGCCCGCTGACATTTCGTGCGCGATTTGGTCACACAGATGCAAGTTTGCTAACCGACGACGTGGGGCTAGCCCTTCAGATGAGAACAGCCCTGCTGGCTGCCCCGGCCCGTGCAAGAAGCAAAGTCAAGGCGGAGTGGGGGAAGGTTGTCACGGAGCGACGGCGAGTGGCGGCAGATTTGTTGCCAAAGACTGCATCACGCCTCTTGGGCTTCATCATGGCGCGAGAGGACTCCTTGCGCGACATGCCAATCCCCAAGCTTCGCAGAAGGTGTAAGCAACCAGCTGCCGTGGTGCTCCAGGTGCGAGTTTGGGTTTGATGGTCATCTCACGAGAATAAGGCGAATTACAACTAGATGGGTGTGAATACAACCAGATGGGCAAAATACAATTGAAATCTCTAGAAATTTGTTCAGATGGATTAAAACACAACCAGATGGGTGATAGCACATCTAGGATCTTTGGTCCGAGTTTGGGATTCTACATAGGTTTTTTTTGTTCGCTCTTCGATGTCAGGGACCAAGGGTCTATGGGTTTTGCTGCGTAGATGGGGAGTGAAATGACCATGTTAAGTATTGCCTGTTAGCCTTCCGTACCTACATGACCGAAAGCATACAAATCGACACAATCATGTAAAGTATTGCCTGCATGCCTTTCGTACCTGCATGACCGAAAGCATACAAACCGACATAATCAGGTCAACTGTCGCCTACATGCGTTTCGTAGCTACATGACCGAAAGCATACGAACCGACATAATCATGTTAAGTATTGCTTATGTGCCTTTCGTCCCTACGTCGCCGAAAGCATACAAACCGACATGGTCATGTTAAGTATTTCGTAAGCTACATGTCCGGAAACATACAAACCGAAATAATCATATTAAGTATTGCCTACATGCCTTTCGTACCTACATGACCGACAGCATGCAAACCGACATAATCATGTTAAGTATTGCCTACATGCCTTTCGCACGTACATGACCGAAAGCATACAAACCGACACAATCAGGTTAATTGTCGCTTACATGTGTTCCGTAGCCACATGACCGAAAGCATACAAATCCGACATAATCATGCATGCCATTCGTACCTACATGATCGAAAGCATACAAACCGACAAATAATCATGTTAAGTATTGCCTACATGCCTTTCGTACCTGCATGACCGAAAGCATACAAACCGACAAAATTATGTTAAGTCTGGCCGACATGCGTTTCGCACCCACATGTCCGAATACATGCAAACCGACATAATCATGTTAAGTATTGCCTGCATGCAGTTCGTACCTACATGACCGGAAACATACAAACCGACATGGTCATGTTCAGCATTGCCTACATGCCTTTCGTACCTACACGACCGAAAGCACACAAAACGACATAATCATGTTAAGTATTGCCTACATGCCTTTCGTACCTACATGGCCAAAAACGTGCAAACCGACAGAATCATGCATGCCTTTCGCACCGACATGACCGAAAGCATGCAAACCGATATAATCATGTGAAGTATCGCCTACATGCCTTTCGTAGCTACATGACCGAAAGCATGCAAGCCGACACAATCAGGTTAATTGTCGCCTACATGTGTTCCGTAGCCACATGACCGAAAGCATACAAATCCGACATAATCATGTTAAGTATTGCCTACATGCCTTTCGTACCTACATGACCGAAAGCATACAAACCGACATAACCATGTTAAGTATTGCCTACATGCCTTTCGTATCTGCATGGTCGATAGCTAGCATACAAACCGACATAATCAGGTTAATTATCGCCGACATGCGTTTTGTAGCTACATGGCCGAAAGCATACAATCCGACATAACCATGCATGCCTTTCGTACCTACATGGTCGAAAGCATGCAAACAGACAAATATTCATGTTAAGTAATGTTTTTTGCCTACATGCTTTTCGTACCTACATGACCGACAGCATACAAGCCTAAATACACATGTTAAGTCCTCATTCGTGCCAGTGCGCAAAGAGAAGAGACAAATCACAGCGGTGCTGAAACCTCAAGGCTGTATTATGGATTTTCTGTAGAGCATGTCCAAATTTATAAAGGCACCGCAATAGCCAGTTGTAGTTTCCCCTGTTTGGGCCAGCCCACAATAGTGGTTCAGTTGTGTTTTCCACGCTGTGGTTGTATTGTTTCCCGCTTGGTTGTATTCCGACCCTGTCGCGTCATTACACCCCAGAATCAAGAGTCTTATGCCACTCCTTTGCACCATAGCATGCGACATAGTCGTGGTTATGAATATACTCACCGCTGTACCATAGGGAGGAGCACCCTGCAGCATAGACAGATGACTTATCATCACCAATGTCAGCCTCATAGGACAGGCAGCAAGCAATGAAACTGGAACTGTCTGGGAATGGGGGAAGGGATCCCTATGATAGTCCCTTAAGGTCCCTTATAGTAGTCCCAATAACCCATTCCTCCATTCCCTACTGAGCACCAGACCGGGAAGTTTGCCATGGAATTGATTGTGTTTTCTCCTCTTTCCAGGCCCCAGGCCGTAGGGCAGGATGCTCGTGCATGAGCTCCTTGCTGCTACTGTGATTCAAAGCTTTCATGAAGTATATGAACCCTCAATCGTCAACTAGGTTCCTGAGTAGTACCCTCTTTCTCTTCTTATTGCATGGTCCCCTTATTAAAACAGAATAACAGGAACAAGGGTATCCTTATTATTTCGGGGTCACTCAGGAGCCTAATCAATACGTAACCTAAACAGTGATCTTGATCTACGAAGCGAAACTCCCAACCTTAGCTCAACGCTGATTCTTTCCGACGCAATTTCCAACTTCTCAGCCCGTTGCAGGAATCCCCAAGCCGGCTTATTACAACCAAAGCCACAATAGGCAGACAGCAGCTCATGCTGCAGGAGCTCAGGTAGCGAGAGTTGTGAGGATCAGCGGCAATATGTGTTGCGCATGAGGGGTTATTAAAAAGCTGTTGCGCCTCGCCAGGTGCCCTTGCTGCCGCAGACCGCTACACGACTAGGGCTGCTTGTCCAGGAGATGCAGGAAAGATTGGCTTCCGGGGAAGGTCAGAAAGCCTTGCAACAGCTTTTCCAGCAGAAGCACCCTGCAATCGCGGAGGGTCCCAAAATCACGACAAAGGAAGGTCTGCAAGTTGCGTTGGGGCGCCTGGTGAGTGGCGACTTCCTCGACGTGGTGGACATGTGCACGTTTGCAGCAGTGGACAAGCAAATGGATCAAATCCTTACGCAGGCAATGTCTTGCAGAGGGACCCTCACACTTGACCCCCGCAGCTTCCGCAGCTCTATGAAACTCATCCTCGGCTTCCTTGGAACAAGGTTCGCACACGACACACAGGTTATCGACCTGAGATTCCTGCCGAATGAGATGCTTCGTGACAGCACGCTATGGCCGCTCTTGTACAGCTTGCCAGCTTTGCAACGGGTGCATGTGCGGCACGACGCGCCGAGTGCACCTCGCAACCCGAAGGTAATGCTTCAATTCGATCTGCGTGCTGGAGCAACGTCTTCCTCAGAAATGGGCTGACGTGCGAATGTCTGATTTGACACAATGAGAACGAGTTTGTGCTTGGTCAATGTCATTGCCCGTGCATTGCAGCGAGCATGCGAATAAAGGACGCTGGCGTCTACGCATGTGTCGCTGAAGTGTCCAGTCCATATATATATACACATATATATATATACATACATATGTAGCTGTTGCCGATCATATGGCTTGTGAGATCAGTGCCAGTGGTATAGCTATTGTCGCTCCCTGCTTGTCAGTCTCTCTGTAGACATGAAACCCAAGACCCTCAGACCCCAACCCTTAAACTTCAAACCCTAAACCTGAAACCTCAAGCCCTAAACCTTAAAATTCAAGCACCATCCCAACCCTCATCCTTCTAGCCTCAACCCTGAACAGCAGAAACCCCCCAAACCGCACTTTGTCGACTGGGGATCTCGTCGAAAAGGCGCTGTGCTCCTGCCGGCCTCCGCCCAGAGCTGGATTGACTGGAGGCAGGAGCTTGTGAGGGTTTGCGAAGGGCTTAAGTACGGCTTTCATAAGGGTTCGGTTTAATAGAAGTTTCCTTCGGGAAGTACATTCGGGTTTAACTCAGGTTTCAGGGGGTCTTGTAAGGGTGTTAGCAAGTTCGAAGGTTGTTCTAAGGGTTTGATTCGGGTTTACAAATGGCTTAAAGGGGTACTCAAGATGTCCGACGTGGCCGAAATACTTTGAAGCCTGGTCTGCAGAGCGAAGCGCGCGCCTCGTGCTCTGCTTCATAGGTTTCAACGCGAAGCATAAGATTTAGTTCCCCAATACCCAACCTTTAAACTGTTTGGGGTTCAAACAGTAGTAATCTGAAAGTTTAACCTTTTATTTCCCAGTTTAATTGGGGAAGTAAGAAGACTAGCCAGCAGACTTTGATTTCGGATTTAGAGGTGCATTCATCCGACAAGAGCACGAAGATGTTAGGGGTTTGGAGGTTGGTCTCAGTGTCGAAACCCTAAGCCTTAAGCCCTAAACCCTAAACCCTAAACCCTAAAACCCTACACCCTGAGCCCTAAACCCTAAACCCTAAACCCAACCCTAACAGTGATCGACATAGAGACGGGGGGAGTAGACCTGGGGGTTGGGAGTTGCCAGCAGCGTCAATTAAACGTTTTTTTGGGGTTGCCAAAGCCCAAATTTAGGGTTTAGGGTTCAGGGTTTGGGGTTTATGGTTTAGGCTTTAGGGTTTAGGGTTTAGGCTTTGGGCTTTAAGGGAAGATGAACTCCACAAGCCTTATTGTATAGGGCCGAAATAATTACCAGTACTAATTTGAGGGCTCCTTATTATAATGATAGCAAAATATACCCCAAACCATATTCTAACTTGTTAAGGCCCCTATATTAGACTTCTTCGTAAATCCCGCAAGACCAAACGGAAGGAACGCATGCAGAAGCCTCATGCTGGACCCTTTCATAAAGCAACCGTAGCGAGGGCTGCTCCCCACATCAGCCCTTCACGGTTTAGGGTTTAGGGGTTTAGGGGTTTAGGGTTTAGGGTTTAGAGCCCACAGGTGGCAGTGCATCGTGCAGCGCCGCCTGGGCTTTGCAAACCCTGCTGAGATGCGCGCTGCCTGGGCCCGCGAGCGCGCGGAGGGCGGAAAAAGGGCCGGATGCCGTCGCTGCGTTGCATGACATGCCAGCCATGGCTTGGCCCTTCTAGCTCAGACCTTGCAGCACATGAAGACAAGAATCCTGCTGTCGTTGACCCTAGGAAGTGGTGTCGTTATTTGTTTTAGATGTCTAGATGTTTGTCTTTCTATCACCATTGCTACTGTCATGAGGTGTAAACTCCAACGGACCCCACGCCCAAAAGCTCACATCCCCCAAACTCCGTGAAGTATCATGTCCGTATCTGGGTGTCCACGCGATCTTTTCGCAACTTTAGAATGTAATTAAGAGAATCCAGGGCTTTATGCCCTAAGCCCTAAATCTGGCACGCTGCCAAGGCATCCAAAGCCTCCGAAGCTTTCAGATGGCCGCACCCTCGGCCTTTTTCTTGCAAGTGGTGCAGCTCAGATTTCAACCCAAACCGTACGCCAGCGCGAAGTGGGTACATAGATCATGGTTGGGCTTATGAGTACCATAAGTAGAGTCATCATATTTCCGCGCAGCCTACTTGCTGAGCCCGTTGAGCCTTTCGGTAAGCCCATCCCTGAACCCGAAGCTGTAATTCAAATCCTGGTGCCGCTGGAACCCTAAACCCTAAACCCTACACTCCACCCCAACCCGAAACCCTAAACCCCAAACTCCAAGCCCTAACCCTAAACCCTAAACCCTAAACCCTAAACCCTAAACGCCCAGGGGCAGGTTTCCATGCTCCTGATGACAACCGACGTGTCGGCACGGAGGGATTTCGACTTTGGCAAGGCCCGGAGGGCTTTAGGGTTTAGGAGTTTAGGGGTTTGGGGGTTTAGGGCTTGATGGTTTAGGGTTTAGGGCTTAGGCGTTTAGGGTTTAGGACGTTTTGGTTGGGTTTGTAGCGGTTTTTGTGGAATTTTATAGGGTCTTATAGTCTTCCTATTAAGGTTTTAACATGTTTTTTGTAGGATTGCGTAACGGTTTGGAGGGTTTTTCTTTGAAATACCGGCTCTATCTTAAGCTTTAAGTAAAGTAAGGTTTAGGTTCTGTGTTTTTTTTAATTTGCCGCGCCAGATCCAGGCTAACAAAGGGGCCTTAATAATTAGAATAGGGCTTGGGGTATATTATACTATAGTCATAATAAAACCCCCAAAACCCTATTCTAACTATTTAGGCCCCTACCCTAAACCCTAAACCCTAAACCGCCTACATTAACATGCCTCCATGGATGCCTCCCAGGGCAGTGAAGGGATCCCCTTATGGTCCCTGAAGCCCGGAGATTCCCTGAAAACCTCAACCCCCAAAGGAGGGGCCTAAAACACTCCCGATACTATTTTTGGGGGTTCCTTAGTATACTTGTAGTGTCAGGGGCCCCAAAACCCTCTTCTCATTATTTAAGGCCTCTATATTACACCGGACCCAAAGCCCTCAGCCCTGTATCGTCCTCAAGACCCTAAACCCTAAACCCTAAACCCCTAAACGCAAAACCCCTAAACGCTAAACCCCAAACCCTCACCCCTGAACCCTA